TTCACATATGCAGGTATTATTGATCACTGTTCACCATGGTAACGTTTTTTTTTTTCTCTCCACAGAAATACCTGATCAAACATCAGTGTATCAGTCAGGAAATATTGATTAATCCTCTATTGACCAATTAAATAGCGGGGTTTCTGCCGTAGTCAGAAGTGCGCTGATAAGACCGAGATAGTCTTGATTTCACGTCATTGCTCAGAGGCTGTAAACACAGATAAACACGAAGGTGAAAAGTTGAACATTTGGTAGAATAAGGATGTCAAGGTAAGGCTACAGCAGTAAAAATAAACGAGTGTGTGATGGTGCAATGCCTCCAGAGAAAGTCGTGAACGAAAGGACACGAATCCGTGGTTCCTGGACTATTTTTGAGCCAGTTAACTTGAGTATGGGCTTTAAGCACAGCTGCACTACTTCCTGAACTTAAGCCAGCTCCTTGTTTCCTGTCTGCCATTATTGGCCAAACTTGATTAATTCAGGTGTGTCTGATTATTGTTGCCATGACTACTGAGGTCAGGCACACCTGAATTAATAAATTCGGCCAATAGTGGCAGACAGGAAACAAGGAGCTGGCTTGAGTTCAGGAAGTAGTGCAGCTGTGCATAAAGCCCATTGATAAAACCTGAAAACCTTTTCTCTCCGAAAAATCCCACAATGCACGGCAAAAACCAGGGAGAATCGATGATGAAAAGATATTTATCTTGAGCTGTAATGGAAATAATACATTTTTAGTTGAACAATTTGATAATCGATTTAAAAGAAATTTATTTCTTTATTAAAAGAGAAGAAATTTAGACCTGTGGTTTGGAAAATGGATGAATGGATGATCTTCTGGTGAGACGCAGGAATTCATTTGGTGCTCAATTCTCACAGTGCATTATGGGTATTCTCCAGTCTTTGAGCGTAAATCAGTTGTACATAAATTTCACAGTATTTTTACTGATTCCTTACCAGTGCCCAGATTTGTATACACTATGACTACTATGACTATATAGCTAGATTATACATTGTAACTACACGAGCAGATTGAGACGCACCCATATTTTCCCTGATTTTGCCAATATTTTACTCTAATGATTTCCGATTCACAAATTAATCATTCTTTTGAATCATTTGTTGTTTTTTTTGGTTTTTTTTTTTTTTTTGGGAAACCAATCAAATTGTACAAGATTTAACACACAAAGTGATTGACAGTCAGAGTCAGTTTTAAAAAGGCTTATGTGCTCGCCTCCTTATATCAGAAACTGATTTCTCTTCAGTGTTTCTCAGGTAGTAGGGATGTTTTAACATTTTTGTATTAAATTATTGAAACGTCATCTTTACAATAAGACTCCCACAAATGTCACATAATGTAGCCTATGAAAAGACATGTTTTAGAAGCTTTGTTTTGGATTTTTCCCTCACAATTGTGACTGAAAAAAGTCTGAATTGTGAGTAAAAAGTTGAAATTACCTTATTTCTTATTTCCAGGGCAGAAACAAGCTTCCATAACACGTCTAAGTTATTAATACAGAAAATATTCCAGCTCAGACAGATTATACGCAACATGAATCAACATGTCGTAAATCATAGCACACAAATTACATCCATCTCAAAGTCCAATAAGAAGGTACATGTATTTTACAATTTTATGAGGCATGGTTGAGCTTGAGTTCATTATTCCACTGGACACATTTGTTTATATATGCACTACACAAATGTATTCATATCCAGAATGCAAATTTCTTGTCTTTTCAAGAAACAAAGTAATGGCAAACAGCATTCTTAATATGAAAGTACCACACAGGAGCTGTATGTCAGACACTAGACCAGTGGTTCTCAAACTTTTTCAGGAGGAGGCCCCCTTGTGTAGGGTGAATCCTTTTGTGGCCCCCCAAAAGAAAACTTATAACGAAAACATCCTCAAACGTACAATTTTACTTACAAATTTTAGATTGTACCAAAAACAAATGAATTTGTACAATGCTGGAACAACAGTTCTGTTTTTAGCTTTATGTCTTTGAATATACAAAATTAGTTAAATTGTACATTTCATTAAATATAACATTTTTTTTATAAAAATGGTTTTGACAGTTAACAGTAATATTGTCTGAAAAGTGCAACAAAAGTATTGAATACTGAACATTTGTGATGTTCATAGTAAAAGATAAACACTGAAAAATTAATTTGCTGATTGTAAAAAAAGTGCATTAAACTTCTTACATTTTAAGGTAGTAAATGACAGTGGCTCAAGTTTGAACAGTAATCTGTTTTTTCAGCAAGAAACAAAAAAAAATTCTACTCTACTTAAAGAAATACTTTTTCAATATAGAAGACATACAATTTTATACAAGTTTTACAATATAAAAGAAATCATGCAATGCAGATTTCACATAAGACAATCCAAACTTACATACAGGTAAAATAATTTTTTTAAATAATTTCATATTCTAGAATTTCTTTGCGGCCCCCCTAGAGCCATCTAGTGGCCCCCCAGGGGGCCACGGCCCCCAGTTTGAGAACCGCTGCACTAGACATTTGTGTACACTATAGGAGTGGTTTTGTATGTTAATTTCTAACATCTAAACATCAATATTTTGTGAATTCTATTCTTCAAACTCATTAAGAATCAGTCGCCCTGAGATTACTCGAGGCTCGGGTTTGATTTTTGTTCAGCTTGTTTGCTGTTATCTGTGGTGTGTTTCCCTTCAGCGTTCACCCTGCAGTCACCCTTGTGTTCGCCCTCTCAACCCATCCTGACCTGCCTGCGAACTCAGTCAAATTAAGATAAGGCCCAACTTTATGGTTTAAGAGACAATAAACCAATTCAGCGATAATTAGACATTTCGACAACAAAATTCATTTATGGCACCATATCCATTCAAGTTTACAGTTTATCTCTCGGAGGGCGAAGATAACATCATGATGCTGTTTAATAGAACACTTGTCATGAACTATTAATTAAATATATATTTAAGTTGTTTAATTAAACAACACAAACATTCTTCCAGTGGCGTTAATAGAATGTTTGTTCATCTTTAAAAGCGTTATTTATACGTTGTTCATGGAACGTTTTTCAGTTGGATGTTCTAATGTTTTTAAATGTTACAACATTCCGAGAACATTTGAATGTAACGTTCCCATAATGTTTGTAACATTCTAAAGTGGAATGTTTATATAACGTTCAAATATCCAAGAAAGAATAACATTTTAAAAACAGGACATTCTGATCATTCAGAAATAACCCCAATATAATTTCCAATAACTTAGAACTGTGGAAAAATAGAATATATATATATATATATATATATATATATATTCTATATTCTCTCTCTCTCTCTCTCTCTCTCTCTCTATATATATATATATATATGTATACACAGGTTACATTTATAATAATATATATTTTTATTTGCTGAGTATAATGCCACTGGATGTGAACTTGAATTATAGACGTCATATTTGATTCACTTGTATGAGCCTGATCATTTCCATTTGCCATTTTCTCAGGAATGAAATCTGATCGTCTTCAGACCTCTGGAAATGAGATCTCATCTTTCATCATCTGGAAATTTCTCCGTTCAGTCGGTGAGTGCTCTCTGTCACAAATGATAGGCCTATTATTAACTTAGTGGTTTTATCAGGGTTTTATTGTGATGAGATAAGGAAATTGAATTACAACTTGTCACGCGTTCATCACTTCACGTATGATTTCTTTTTAAAAATACATTTTATATACAAAAACACATACAGTCATGCTTATATATACACCAGTGTGGATAAGATATTAAATGTGCTTTTAATCCAAATTCAAAAGGAAAGAATAGATCCAAAAAGGGCTTGATCTTCATAACACTGAAGCTGGAAATGTCTTGTGAATGGTGGCAGACCTATGTAAGGTCAAAAGTATGAACGATGATATTCAGGAGGGCCAATGGGAGGACAGATTGACTCCGACAGCCAGAACTTCTGGTGAAAGCTCCGGCACTGGAATTGAAAAAAGCCAATTTGAAACAGAAATTTTAGCTACTTGCAAATTCATTTTTAGCATAAAGTAAAGTCGCAATGAAACTGAATAGCGACTGATCTTTTCCATATGTATCCTTTGTGTATAACAGGATTATTGAAAGGGGAAAAAAAGTAGGGCGGGGACTTGGTGCATTGGTTGCTAATTGGATGTTAAGATGTGGGTGTGGCACTCACAAGTGGAGAGGCGGAGTTTAAGCGCCCTGAATGATGAACAGTCTGACGTTTTCACCAGAAGGTCTGGTTTTTATTACAACATTTGTTTTTTTTAAAAAAAGAAACAAATGCACGGATATATAACATGCATTTACAAAATAGGGTCCCACTTTATATTAAGTGGCTTTAAGTACTACATCGAAAAATGAGTACAATGTTCTTATATTGTAAAACAATTTTCGTTATTGCAATCTTCAATCTTACAATTTTCGTTATTGTAAAACGAAGTCCATTGTATCAAATTATTAATTTCAACGTAAGTACATAGTATAAAGCCACTTATAAAGTGGAAGCCAAAATAGATATGGTGAATTATCATTTCATGTCGACTTTAAAATCCATCTTTTAATAAACAGTGTGGGATGTTATTTAGATTTGAAGCTAAATTTGCACAAGCAAATGATTTTGCAATTAACTGGAATTTAAATGGCTTTGAATTAAATATTAAATTTAATATCGCAAACGTTTCGTCATCTAATAAATGTACTATTTGACACTCATCAAGACCCTTATACATTACTGGTGATCCAAGATGTGATTTTATTAAAAATATTAGCTAAATTAAAGTTATTAATTTAACTTTATTACTCAAGTTAAAGGTTAGTTATTTCTGTGCTTTTTCTCTTTTGGGACATCAGTTATTTGGCTCAAAGGTCCTCCGCTCGTGGATGGATGTGAAGGAAAGTTTACCGGAACAAAGAGGACAGGAGGCAGGAGGTGCCGGTGAGTGTGTTTTGCATCTCTCGACACTGCTAACGGTCTGTGCGCGGCTTTAGCTTCACTGCGCCTCCACTTCGCCCGTCGGTTCTGGAACCAGATCTAAACAAATAGGATAAATAAATATCACTCTTAAAATAAATGCTCTTTGGCTGAACATGATTCAATCATGGACAGTGTTTCCACTTGATTAAAACAAGTAAAGCCCAAAAGAATCAGCCATGTAAAACTAACTCGAATCAATGATGTCCATTTAACTGAATCACCCATTTAATGCTTCTGTGCATTTAAATAACAACAAACTAAATATAACTTTTCTTTACACACTTCATTAGTCCAGAAGTTATACTGGTTTCATCCAGAGTTATACTATTTGCTTATTAAAGCAATTTAATTAGCAGGTTTATACAAATTTCTCAAAAAATGCATAAAATAACACTTTATTTCAAGATTTACTCTCCCACTTCAGCCCCTTTGCAAAGCATGATGGGAAGTGAAAGTCCGTTTGATTGGGTTACTTGATTGAAACATGTTATTTCAAAATGAGTCAAAGAAAACTGTTTCAAGTCAATTTAACATGAATCACATTTGAGCCAGAAACCAATGGTTTTAATGTAAATCAAAATAAATTGTTGACAGACATATATGTCTGTCAACAATTTATTTTGATGTCAACAATTTATTTTGATTTACATTAAAACCATTGGTTTCTGGCTCAAATGTGATTCATGGTAAATTATTCATTATTCACTTATTCATATCTACTTAATATCCATACTGTATATTATGTTGTATTATAGCTGAAATTATATAAGCAGTGTTATTTATACAATATTTTATGTAGACTCATACAAAATACATACTTAAATGGTATATAGCCTATATAAAGGTGCAAATACATAGTAGATTTTATATTATATTATAATATATTATTCATAGCTCAATATTTTTACTTTAATATAAATTAGTTTTTCACGCCACAGAACTACTTAGACAAATCCAAAAAGCTAGATAAATTTGTGTTGATTTACAGCAAATAAACGATATATTTCTTCCTTACACTGTAAAGATGAATATGCTTTATCTAATCAAAAAAAAAATAAAAATGTGGCAATAGATTACAATCAAAATTATTAAGTAAATTTAAAAAAATTAGAATTGAGTAATAATTAATCAAATGAATTCCTTAAAAGTTAACCATTTAAAATGAGTAAAACATAAATTCAAGTCACCATTGGTGATCGGTGTTTATTTAGGTTTATTTTAAAATGACGATTTTGTCCTTCAGTGATTCTGCTTGTTAACATCAGGTGTTTTCAATGTTGGCATTATACAATAAAGAGCTCTTAATTAATCTTTGATGCCTGTCTGTCAGTGAGATATTTTTGTTAATTGTTTTGGTGTGAACTTCACTCATGTTAAATGGTTAACTTTTAAGGAATAATTTGATTAATTACTACTCAATTCTAATTTGTTCAATTTAATTAATAATATTGCTTGTAATCTGTTGCCACAATCCTATTGTTTAGATAAAGCATATTCATTTTTATAATGTATATGCCTACAAAAATCTTAATATTGTAATAGTCATATCTTAACGAAAGCATGGATGATTAGTGTGTTTGGGAGGGCGTATAGTACCTGCACTCGTCCCTCGGAGAGCTGCGCTCGGCAGGCGACCTGGTCTCGGGTGTGTGCGTCAGGATAGTGTGTTTCCTGGAAAACTCTCTCCAGCTCCTCCAGCTGGGTCACTGTGAACGTGGTCCGCACCCGTCTGTGACCCGACCCACGGGCTGCACCATCAGAAACGTATTAGACAAATTGCTTATTGGGTTAAAAAGATAAGAAATGGTATATTTTTTGATTGCACTTTATTTTAAGGTGTCGTTGTTACAGTGTAATTATATATAATATTATGCAACTACATACTTACTATAGAGTAGGATTAGGATTTGGTTGAGGGGTAGTTGCATGTTAATGTTATTACGATAAGTATATATAACAAGGACACTGCAAAATAAAGTGTTACCGGTACTTATTTTTCTTGGTTACACTTTATTTTAAGGTGTCATTAATTATATATTAAGAACTGGGTAACATGGGTTATGATGTTTGGTTGAGGGTTAGTTGCATGTAATTATGCATGTAACAAGGACACTGCAAAATAAAGTGTTAAACAAGTTATTAAGCCTGATATCAGTTGACAATAAAAAAGACACCTGTGCATTGGCTGATTTTAGGAGCGTCCGGCTTTATGTTGGTCTGTGTGCATCCAGATGTCTTGTCTAGGTCTGTTCTTTCAGGTCGGACTGTCAAACTGGACGGTTTTTTCAGTATTTCCTCGATAGAGTGAGACAGAAACTTTGAGCTGTGTGTGGATGTCCTGCTCTCCGTGTGTTTCTCTAGCTCCACATCAACTAATTGCATTGTGCTGTCGTCCTCAGCGTCCCAGATCGACTTGAGCTTCTCCAACAAGTTGTCTAGTAGTTGCGTTCCCAGTCTGTGTGATGATATGGTCGAAGCATTCATAGGAGGAGTGTAACTAAACTCCTCAGTCATAAATGCTGCTCCACCTCTATCCAAACCATCAAAAACTGCTTGGGATATTTTCAAATGCATGCCTTTTATTGATTGGCTAACAATGCAACAGGGCTGGTGTGGCGCATTATAATTGCTTGATAAGAGTTTTTATTTATATAAATGATGACAATTATTTCTTAAGCAGTGTAATTTGGCCATTGCAGTTGCACAGATGTGTGAGATCTAATAGCATATTTGACATAGACAACAGCGCCATCAAGTGGTCAGTTGTAGGTTGACTTTGTTGTTGCAACTGTAGAAGTGATGACGTCACTTTGTAGGACAACTCCCTACGGACTTTTGGAAAATTGCAAAAAAAAATAAGATCTGTGTTTAACAAAGGTTTGTGACCCTTACACGTTTTGTCTAGCAAGATAATCTTTACAAGTGAATCCAACATTTATACATTTTGAAGCCTATATAAAGATTTTAAAAAACACAATCAGACACAATAAAGTTTAAAAAAAACACAAGCAGGTTATAACTGTGTGTTCTATGTCATAGATCAAAACGTGAAAATATTTAGAGGCTTTATACACCTTATTTCAGGCGATTTAGCAAAAACCCATTCAAAAAAGAGCGAAGGAACCGTAGTGCTACAATGCTAACTCACTTCCGCGTTTTGGCCTACAGAGTGACGTCGTAACTTCGCCACTCTATGCACTTTAGACGTTCGATCACGTGCGTTTTATTTAAAAACACGCCCACCAAAGACACGACAGCCAATCCCATACTGTAAAATGAAAATTGACTTTGCTAGTGTACTCCTAAAAGATGATTTAGCAGAAATGTATATGTATTAAAAATACATTTCTCTGAACATGATGAACATATATTAACTTTACATTGAGACAGCTGTGATTAAAACACATAAATAATTGTATATATCACTATGTCTACTAATAATATTTAATTTTTATGACCAACAGCCCATCAGGACATTACAAGTCGTCCGTGTCACGCTTATCTCTTTGTATGTGAAATGATCAGGGTTGAGTATTGATGTTTAAACATGGAAGGCCAGTTGTGATGCCATGAACGAGCTATGTTGCAGTTTTGTTTCAGTAAATATTTTGGGTGGACTGGGAAGTAACTGTTTTCCATATACCAATGTCAGTCCCACCCTGGCTGTGGGAGCAGAGTACAGTAGGGTGAAAGTCAGCGTAGATATTATTCATCCTTTCACTATTTATCCACACTCAGATCTAAAAGTCAGGCTACTGACGTCCTTCATGGATGACTCGAGGGAGATTTTCATCTATATTCGATGACGGTTTGTCCGTGACTGACGTGTCTTTGGCTAAATCTGTGTGTATGTGTGTGTGTGTGTTTATCTGTGCTGCGATTCACATTTCTGGAAGCACTTGAAAGTCTTTTACCCCTGGAGACACTAGATGGCAGCCTAAGACATCAAAAGCAGCGTGTTTTATGTAAATACAACTCTCACGAGCAGCACTGTTATGAAAAAATAGAAAAGCATTGCATATATAACTGTAAATTAAAGCTCATAACACTCATATTCACACCTCAATCAGAACAAAATCAAAGTGCGATTGACATGAATAAGGAATATGGCTAGTATTATATCGGCATTTTATTAACTTTTTATAGCTGGCTACACTCTAAAAAATGCTGGGTTGTTTTAACCCAATTTTGGGTCAAATATGGACAAACCCAGCCATTGTGTTACATTTTTTAAATTACATTTTTAACCCAATGTTTGAGTTTGTCCATATTTGACCCAAAATTGAGTTAAAACAACCCAGCATTTTTCATTTTAAGGTGGCGTAGTTACATTTACGGACTCAAATACTTACTTATTATAGAGTTAAGGTGTTAATGGTTTGTAATCATGCATAATTAACTGTTATAAGTGTCACCTTAATAATTAAGTGTTACCTTTTAGATTTATATTAAACTTTAACATGGGCATTGTGTATGGCATTCTGAGCATATTTAGCACGCTTTACTAAACGGATTATTCTATGTGAACAGTTTTGTTTTCAGCTTTTCTCTCGGGCGTCTGCTACTCCTCTGACAGTCGACCTTTTCTCCGCTAGTCTCTGCTGTAATCTGTCTCTGAGAGGCAGGAGTTGTGCCAGATAGCTTTATTTCTGCAGTCTGAAGCAGCAAATGGATTACACATTCAATTAACACACAAGCCATCCTGCGCTCGCAGCCTCACGGCCAATTTACATGTCAACAATACGACACGTCTTAACAACAGCAACGTTCAATTACTTCATTTGCAGCAGCAGTTGTGATCCTCACACTGATAAACCCAGATACTCATAGATATATAGGCTATTTATTTATTAATCAGCCACAGAGCCCCTGCAGTACCTGCATGTGCCCATAGGGGGCTGTAAACCTCCTGTTCAAAATGGGCTTTACAGGATCGTGACTAATAACTCTGAACTATAAAACCTGTTCGCTTTGAGCCTGAATGAAATGTCACACTGCTTACTATTTTTAGTATTTGAAGCATTAATACAGTATGCATACAATCACATGACACAATATTGACTGTATTAGAAATCGGTGCTGTCATGATTCTTGTCTTGTGTGTACTTTTGTCATTTCCTGTCTTGTGCCATATTTTGTAGTCCTATGTAGTTTTTCATGTTGATTCCGTCTCCCCAGGTTTATCTTGTTTGCCTCTGTGTATCTATAGCCCTTGTGTTTCACTTGTTACTTTGTCAGTTGTTGTACATGTGTGGTTGCTTATAGTTTGGTCCTTCTCATGGTTTTATTTCTTTATTATTTGTTCTATGTGCTATTTCATTAAAATCATTATATATATATATATATATATATATATATATTGTATTTTAGCTTTTGGCAACCTGATCAAATAATTACTCCTATAGAAAGTTTTCATAAATATTTTGCACACTTTAACACAGATTATGTTGAAACAGTTTTCACTCAGATATTGCTAGTAAATTTCAGAAATAATGCCAGTAACAGTGTATTAAACATGAAATTTTGAAGTGGAATGACTGAAATACACTCTTAGAAGAAATGGTTCTATTTAGAATCAGAAATGGTTCCATCCCCCGCTTCATATATGGAACTCCAAAATGGTTCTATATACTGTAGAACCTTTTTTTGGTAAAAGATTCTATTGGCCAAGTATGGAACCCCAGGGTTCTATATAGAACCCAGAGGAACACTTTTTAAAGAGTGTATAGAAACTTTTACCAAAAAATTGTTCTATATAGAACCATTTTGAAGTTCCAAATACGTAGCGCTGATAGAACCTTTTAAGGTTCTATATAGAACCTTTTCTTCTAAGAGTGTAGTATTAACACTCACTATAAGTTGTTTGTCATACTAGGATATTGCATGTGTGCATGTAGTAGGCAATTTCCATGCATGCATAATATTTACACTATATAATGTATTGTGCATATTGCAAAAATAGTAAGAGTTGTATCCTAAAATGCTTTCCCAATGTCGCTCGTTGCCTAAGGTGTGTGTGTTTCAGTGCTATTGGTTGATTTATCCAGAGCTGTCTCTGCCTTGTGGCTCTTCTATAGCAGTCGGCTTGCTGATTCCCAGACCACTGAAGGTCGAGCTCAAACACAGCTCTGGAGCGGCCGGACAGCACTGCATCTTCCAGGTGAAGGCATTTGAGTGAACACTTTTCATGCAACATTAAAGAGACTGCAATCAGTCCAAAGTGCACAAGGGTTTGAAGGAAAAGTTGGTCTGTCGTTATTTGTCGTTATATGTCGACTGCCTCTCTCATAGTTAAACTATAGCTTTGTGTGATGAACAGAGTCAATAGACTGATTAAATGAAGCTTTGATGGTGCTTTTTGTCATTTTTAAAGCTCCACAGTACCAATGATTTATTTTTATTTTTTTTGGATGGTCTGTCCCTTTAAGTGTGTGTTACATCATCAGATGGGGAGTTAGTAGCTGCTTTACTGTATATGGAGGACATACATCTGACTGTTCAGTATGCATCATTCTCTACATGCCTGTATCTATTTTTGACTATCCTTCACTCGCCTAAAGGTTATATGGCTGTGTGTAACTCAAAACTGGCTAGAGCTCTTGTCTGCTATACTGTAGACCTGTTTCATTATTCCCTTTGCTAATTGTCCTGTCCTGTTCTGTCTCGGTTTTCCCTCATATCTTAATCTGGGAAAAGGCACTGCAGTGTCATTGTGCATTCTGTTCACAGTTCTCAGAGGGAAGCTCGCTTTGGTGTAGACTAGTGAAGTTCGGTGCTGTGAAATGAAAATGCTGTATCATGTTATACTCTTCATGTTTTCTGTTGAATGAGCGTATTAAAATGTATAAAAACGTATTTTTGCATGCAGAGACACAGCAGCCATTCAAATCACACTAGACACTGCAAAGGAACACCATGGCAACCACATTGAAACCCTGGCAACCACCCATAACTACATAGCATCTTGGTAACCACTGTAGCAACTGCATAGCAACATGTTAAAATCCCTAAGAACATTTTCGCCATCACATAGTAGCGTTATTATTCACCCAACTCACCATAGCAACCATATAACAACACCCTGACAACCACCCACAACACACTAGCAACCACAGAGGAATTCAAACCACCTAAAACATTCTCACAACCACATAGAAACCACGGCAACAACCAACAACTGCATAGCAACATCTTGGCAACCACCTAGAACACTGTTGCAACTGCATAGCAACATGGTCAAATCACTCAGAACATTTTTGCAACCACATAGTAGCATGTTATCAATCACCCAGCTCACCATAGCAACCATATAACAACACCCTGACAACCACCCACAACACACTAGCAACTACAGAGGAATTCAAACCACCTAAAACATTCTCACAACCACATAGAAACCACGGCAACAACCAACAACTGCATAGCAACATCTTGGCAACCACCTAGAACACTGTTGCAACTGCATAGCAACATGGTCAAATCACTCAGAACATTTTTGCAACCACATAGTAGCA